GTCCAGAGTCCGGTTCGGTGCGGCCGCTGCCGAGCGAGCTCCTCCCGCCGCAGCCGCGGTGCCCTCGACCGCCCGCCGCCCGCCTGCTCGCTCTCCCGCCCCTCAGGCCCGGGCGCCAAACTAGGAGGTGGGCAGTCGCGCCGGCCATGGACCTCCGAAGCTGAACTGCCGCCGCGGAGCCCATCGCCCTTGCCCCTCCCCAGCCCCACGCCCTCGGTCCCCTCGCTTCTCGTCGCCTTTCGCCCTGGAAAGGCGGGGAAAAGAGGGGGATTAATCCGAAGAAAGAAAAAAGGGGGTGGGGAGGGGGAGCCCTTGTCTTCTCTGGGGCAATCGCCCCCGAAACCGCCGCTCAGCAGAACGTCGGGACAACTTCTACCTATTTTGCGCCCCCTTTTTGCCAAACCCTAAAATGAAAGGACAAAAGTTGGCGCTGACTCTTACAGCTCGGATGGCGACTTGTGCGTTTTCAGCGGCATCTCCGGGAGAAAAAGCCTTATGCGCCTGATTGTTCCGTGGCCCCCAAGCTGCGGTGTGTGTGTATGTGTGTGTGTTTGGGTGTGTGTGTGTGTACACAGACGTCCACACACTCACTCGCGGCCGCAGGATCAGCGCCTGGAAGCAGACGTTTCGGCCACAGACTTGGAGAGGAGGAGCTGGAGATCAGGAGGCGTGAGCCGCCGGGAGTTTGCAAAATCCGTGGTGTGAATGAACTGGGGGCACCTGGGTGCACAGATCACCCCCCCTCCCCGCCCCAGGCCAGAGTTGAGTAGTGGGGCATTTTTTTTCACTCTCTTGTGAAGAATTTTTTTTTTTTATTTGTTGTAAAGTCTTTTGCACAATCACGCCCACATTTGGGGTTGGAAAGCCCTAATTACCGCCGTCGCTGATGGACGTTGGAGAAGGAGCGCCTCGCCGCGGAACAGTCGCCTGCGCGCCCTCGCCGGACCCGCGGCTCCCTTGTTGCGCGTCAGCCAGGCCCTGTCCCTGCTGCGGGCCGGCGGGCTTCCGCGCCCCCTCGGTTCCTCCGCGCATCCCAGCGCTGCTCCGACTCCGACTCTCAGACTCGGGCTCCAGCAACAGCTTTGGCTCCGATTCCCTGCGCCTACCAGACGCGCCCCGGAGGAGCCCGCAGCTCTGCGCCGGATTGTCCCTCTAGGCTTAACCCGGTCGCTCTGCTTGGATTCCTCCGCTGCCCTTGCTCTGGTGGCGACTTCCTCCCTGGGCCCCCTCCCCCTCTCCAGGAAGGTAGGTGTTCTGAGCTCCACCGACGCTCATCACTTTTTTTCTTCTTTTTCTTTCAGAAGTTAACTGAATCCTTCCCCCATCCCTCCTTTTCTCCAGCCGCCTCGAGAGGCTGAACTTCCGCGGAGCTAGCAGGGACTCCCACCCCTTCGCCCTCTACCCCTTTAGCACTGCCTCTGTTTCCCGGGAGACCTCTTGTCCCACCAAAAGTTCTGCAAACCCTTTCGACTTTGGAGAAAAAGTTAGAAAGAGCCAGGGCAGAAAAACTGAGTGCAGTTCAGGGACGACTTTTCTTTTGCCCTGAGAAATTCGAGGGTAATTTACTATGTACATTTCAGTAACAGGATAATGATTCAATTCAACAAATATTTACCAAGTGCCCACTGCGCGGGGCACCAAGAAGGTGTGTGGCCAAGGCTTGGAAAGGGGAAGGGGATTCCTCGGTTGCGAGACCGGAGAGCCGGACTAGGGGCCCCAGAGCAGCGCACCTCCTGCCCTCGGCAACCAGAGGCCAGGTTGCAGGCTCGCCTTGGCCAGGGAAATCTAGCGCTGCAGGCCCTGCGCCTTTAAGAGTGCCTGGCGGGGGGCCAGCGCGCACCCCGGCGCGGGGAGCAGGGTCGCGTTATTAGCATTATTAGCCGCCACTGGGTGAGCTCCGGCACTTAGCAGCGGTGATGGGGGCGGGGAGTGCTGGCGGTGGTGGCTCTAATCCTGTCGGCTGAGAAAGCGCGCCCCGGCCCCCTGCGCGCAGAATCTGCCTTGTCCTTTGGAAACATTTGGGCCTCCGCGTTGGGAGAGCGGGAGGGGGGCAGTTTGTGAACTCTTGTTTGTTTTAATTGTCAGTTGTATGTTAAAGCCGAGTCACACACTCCGAGGGTCACCGAGAGTTCACTTTTACGAAAAGTTAACATTTCTTCCTGCAATATAACTTGCTATTTTCCAAACCTTTCCTCTATCCTCCAAGTTTCTATCCTTACTTCCATTTTTCTTGATCTCGCCCATTTTTAGTTTTCTAGAAAATAAGGCTGGAATTGGAATTAGAATGTTTCCTAAAGGCAACCCTCCCCCCACCCCCAAAAAAAGTTAAAAAGAAACAAACAAACAAACAAACAAACCTGGAGACCCCGCGGCCTTGTTTTCGTTTCCAAACCGTCTGGCATCGGGGCCCCATCTCGTCTTTCTTTAAATGGACAACTCGCTCTTTGGAAGTCACTTGTAGCCAACAGTGGGGATCGCACCTCCTCAGCCCCTGCCCTACCACCAACGTTCACTGTTGCTCCAGCCAGATGCGGATATTTTGTTTCTAGACAGCATCTGCTAGGGGAGTTTGAAGAGGGCAATGCTGAGAGCGCGCAAGCGATGGAGAGGCAGTGGAAATTGTGTGTGTGGATTTGTACTCTGTGTGTGTGCGGGGGACGGGCCGGTCGGGCGGTAACGAGTCAGTTGTTCTCTGGTCTTAGGCATCCTAGCCTTAGTCTCGCACAGCCCCTCTCCAGAGGACCCCCACTCCGGAGGCTCAACTCGAGAGTCTCTCTTGCCTTTTCCCTCCCTCTATCCGAGCGTTCTGGTGCACAAGGGGTTAGTTAGCAGCGTGCGCGCAGTGCTCAGCTAATTCCCAAGGCCTTTTCTTCCCCGCCGTGCGGTGCCGGCTGCCCCCTATTGGCTGCCTTGAGGTAGGACGCTTCGGAGTCGGTTTCTTGGGTCTAGCGGGTAGCTAGCTTAGTTGTTCGCTTCTAGTTCCAACCTCTGGCTGCGCACGTCCCTCCAGACCACCAGGTCCCACTCTCCGGGGATGGCCGCTCCGAGACCCCCAGAGGCGAGCTTCATTGCGCATAGCTGCAGTACGGAAGGGACCGTGGGTTCGACCCAGCAAATGGGGTTCGAGCGAGGGGAGGAAGGGTTGGTACCTCTTCTCCAGTGCATAGGAACAAGAGCTTCGCCCTATCAGAGGCCTTGGGTCCGGCCTTGGTGCTCTCACCAATTTTCTCTGTAATCGAGGACAAACGTTACTTTCTCTTTCTTGCCCTCAGTTTCTTCATCTATTTAAAGGTGGAGTTGAAACTGTCTCTGAAGAGTGGGGGTTAAACTTATCTTTAACTTTCTTTCTTCCACTGGACACTGCTATTCCTCTGGACAAAGTTGAGAGCCTGTGTTGAGAGAGTTAGACATCCTGTGTGAGAAGGTAAAAGTGGTGTGTGTGTGTGAGAGAGAGAGAGCGAGCGCGAGAGAGAGACAGAGAGACAGAGAGACGGGGGTGGGGGGACGGGTGGAGGTGTCTTGCGGTCTGGAGAGCCTTGTCCCAGGGATGGATGAGAGGAGGCAGGGAACAGAGCTAGACTAGACTTGGCTAGTCTTCCTCCCTTAGAGACTCCCTGTAACCGGACCTATTGTAGATTCGGAGTCGGAGCAATCAGAGGTTGCTCAGGTTCCTTGCACTGACTTGGGCTCTAGGAGCTCCCTCCACCTTCTCTCTCCCCACCCCCACCTAGCGCACTGGACACCTCCCGGTGGCGTGGGGCGGCCGCGGCCCCGGCTGCACCCAGGCTAGATGCTTAGTGGAGCGCTGGCTCCTAGTCTGCTCCACTAAAGTGGACTTCCTATCGGCCTCGGCGGTTCATCCTTTATCATCCCCTCCCACTTCTCTAGGTGTTCACCGACTCAGGACGGCCCAACTTTGTGGCTGCAACCGGGTTTTTCTCCCACAATTTTCTTCATATATCTCCTTGCTTTGTTGAGGGATCACGGTGGGGAAAAGAACGTTTATTTCCTACCGAGAGCTGCGAATCTTGGAGTTTTCTACCCTTTTCACCACCGCGAACCCAGGTCTAACTTACTTATTCCTCCTAGTTGGTATCCCTCATCATTTCCATTCCCAGACTTCGGGGGGAGGGTCCGGGGAGGGGAGGGAGGCTGGACACAAAGAGCCTGGTGGAAGGAGGTGCCCAAATCGAATGAGGTAGCGCCGGTGACGGAGGAGCAAGGATCGTATCCTTGCCTTTGTGGAATTTCTCTTTAAGGGAGGCGGGCGAAGGACTTGGGTGCTGCGCGCGATTGCGCGCGAGTTCCGATGCTTTCTGCCGCCTGCAAACATGCTCTAACCAGCGTGACGGTTTCCTTTCTCTCACCCCTCATTACTCACGATCCGCACCCCAGTTGATAAAAAGGGGGAGTTAGGAACACCTTTAATCCAATGCGAAGGCTTTGGAGGAGAGACAGAATAAGCAGTCACTGCTTTGAGCTGCTCTGGGCTGGAAACCAGGGCGCACGAACGCCCTACCCTTACCTTAACCCTCCCCCTGCATTTGAACCTCTCAAATACATCCTCCTCCTCATCGCACATAGGGAACAGATTCCGAGGATCCTTATAAAGTCGGCTTCCTCAGGCCCTGAAAGTGTTCGAAAACATTTAGTCCGTTCTTTGGTAAACCCAGCTTCTGCCTAGAACTTTTGTTTTACCCTTTTTGGTATGACAGTCTCCGGAGAAGTCTCATTTCGTAAAGTCTTTCGGGTCAGATCTCTTGGTAAACAAGGCAGAGATGTTTACCCCACAGAGTTGGTGTATTTATTAGTGAATTCTCTGTGGGTTCCTTCACTATTTCAAACTTGTGGGGCCTTTTCTTGGTTGCGCAGGTTTTAGAGCGGGAAGAGGGCCAAGGTGTTTCCCGGCAAGCGCGCGGGGTTAAGTGGAAACGCGACTCGCGGGGCTCTCCTGCGGATCCCTTTGGGGACACTTCCCGCCTACCGCCAGCCTGGAGAGACCCGAGTCGCGGAGACCTAGTGGCCCATTCCCAATTGGCCCCAGCTCTGGGATAGGGTGTACTTTTCCCGGGGCCGTCGGGCCGAGAGTGGGTTCGGTTTGTGTGGGTTCGGTTTGTGTGGCTTTGCCTCTAACAAAGAGATCTGCTGTAATCCGCCGAATCTGTTATCAATTTCTCGGCTGCCCGCGCCCCGCCCCGCGTGCCCCGCCCGTCAGGAAGCTTGGAAAAGAGCACGCGGCCAGCAGCGATACGCGCCCGTGGTCTCGGAAGCACACCGGAGCGTGTGTAACTGTGCACTCGTGTGAGTGTGCACTCGTGTGAGTGTGCATGAGTGTGTGCGCGCGCGGCCTTGGCCGCCTATGGGGAGAGTCGACTTTGCAGCAAGGGCCGCGCGCGAAGGCAGACCTCGCAGCCCACCCCTCCCCCGGAGGAAACTTGACACTTCGGGCGGGGGTGGGGAGGGAGACCACGACGTCTCCCTCCTAGGCTGGGGAAACCTCAGGTTTCTCTTCTCTGGGATGCACCCCCAGCTTTGTGGCATTTTGGGGACGAGCGAGCTACGGGCGTGGAGCCCTAGTTAGCGGGCCCTGGGGACCACATAAGCGTTTCCTCTAGGAGTCCCGAGGTGTCCGGGCCAAAGGGACGGCTGACAGGGAAAAGCCTTGGCAAGCTCTTGAGCCCCTTCGCGTTTCCACGGCTGCCTAGGTCCCATCAGTCCCTTTTACGGCGCAGGCTCCAGGCCAGGCCCTTCAGCCGTCTGGAGGAGGCTCACCTTTCCTTTCCCAAGGAAGGAGCTCCCTCGGTAGCTGCGGGAGGCGCAGCGCGGCCGGGTTACACTTATCAGAAATGTAAAAGGGGATTTTGGAAACCCGCTCCTCCCACCCGCACCCTCCACCGCCTTGCTCCGCCGCCGCCTACAGGTGGAGAAGTCACCAGTGGGGAGGATCGGCAGCCGAAGTTTCCAAGGCTGCCCCTGCCCCGAAATTCTTGACGACGGCAATCTTTGCCGCCCGGCCCTCCACGCCCTGGAATCCAGGGATCTCAGCCGCGGCGCGGGAGCCAGCGCATCTCTGGCCCCGTCAGGGCTGACTCTTACCAGCTCTGGCCTCGCCCTGCACCCTCACCGTTCGGGACTGACCCGACCGAGTCTGAATTGGGCTGGAGGGTGGGGTGGCAGTGTTACAAGGCCAGGCTCACAGTGCTGCGATGGAGAAGTGGCCGACCACTCCAGACCAGGGCCAAAGGAAACCGGAGTCCCCCTTGGCTTCCTTTCCCCTTTCTCCGTGGCAGCTGCCAGGAGTGGGGACGGGAGGGGCGGGAGGGATAATGAAAAATGGGAGGAGGATTGTGGGAGACCTGGGAAGGGATCCTCTCCGAGTACAGCGGGACCCAGCCCCCTTTCTTTCCTCTGGGGTGCCATCCCTTCTTTGGGTACACTAAGTCCGAGGAGGAGGCCGCAGGCAGGGGAACGCACTGTTTTCCGGATTCCTTGGTTGGAAGAGCAGATCTCTCTCCTCACTGACTCCTGTTCCCCCATCTCCTTCTCCCCACTCCCATCTGGCTGAAGAGCGTTCTAAGCAACCCCAGGCTGCCCTTCCCCCTCTGGAAGTGGCTTCTCCCAAAGCAGCCCGCAAACTGATTATGAAACATACGATGTTAATTCAGAGCTGCATTTCCCAGCTGGGCACTTTCGCGCGCGCTGCTCCCCCGGGCCTCGCCCCTCCACCCCTTGCCCTTCCCTCCCGCGTCCTGCCCCCACCCACCAC